GCGGGTTGTATTTTTCAGCAACTTGCTTATGTGTCGCGTGCCGCTGATCTCAGTCGACGCTGTGATTAGCCTTCGCTCTTTCCAATCCAACCAAAGGCCCATTCTCAGGCCACGCAAGCTCAAATGGAAACAGAGAAATCAGTTCCCCGGCTTGATGTCTGCATTCTCTCTGACATCATGTAAACTCTGACAACAACACCTCTCTCTCTGTGAGAGGCTCGTAACTTCTCGCTGACATTGTGCAACAATCCTTCAACAAACTTTTGTGCCCAACAACAGCTCAGATATTCCCCTGATACACTGACGAGCCTAGCTCAGTTGGCATACCCACAAACTGTTAAAATACAGACCCAAGTTCGAATCCAGATACAATCAGCTGACCAGAACAAGATATTCCCCTGATACTCTCCTTGGGCAGCTAACAGGTGTCAACAGTCAAATACAGATCAGCTTCAGGCAATTCTCTAAGTCAGTTTTCAAATTGGTTCTCTAGTCGCCGTTCAAAGTCAGTTTTTGTAAGGTTTTCGGTTGTTTCCAGGATTGGATACCTGCCGAATGCCAACCGTTTTGCAGCCAACCAGTAGGGCCGACCGGGCGGTGGTCTGCCGACCAGTCAGAAAACAGTCATCCACTGATTTTATTTCAAATCCATGTGGGAGACCGTAATGCGCTTGCTGAGTACAGATCAAATCCGCAGAGAAACTTTTGGGATTTGGAGAGGGGGTGGTGGCGGGGGGGTAAGAGGGTGTTGGGGGGCGGTTTGGGGGTGTTGGGGGAGTGTCTGGGGGTATTGGGGGCGGGTATGGAGCATTGGTTGGGTTATTGGAGGTTCTGGAGTCTGGACCCTTTTTTTTTTTTTCCGTTTTTTTGCGGGTCGACCAGCCGACCAGTCAAGGAGCGCTGCCTGTCGGGGTATGCAACACTGGTTTCTTTGAAAACAAGCTGGATTTTTGTCTGTTTTAGAGTCCCGTTTTCTGTCCATCTGACGAGTCAGTTTCTGAGATAGTTTTCTAGCCAGTTTTCTCAATGGTGTATATTGGGGTTTGAAAAGGTTCTTTTTTTTTTTAAGGAAGGAAAATTTTGGACTGTTTCTCGACTTATGTGTGAGGACTGTTTCTCGACTTATGTGTGTCATCCTTGTGCAGGGGCCATGCTAATCTTCTCTGTATCGAATCTATCGATCCAATTTTAACGGATGTCCAGGGCTGCGTTACCGCGCACTGATTGAGCACGGGGTCTGAGCTCAAATTTTTGAGCTCCGCTCAATCCCGCGCTCAAAAGCGCTTGAGCGAGGTTTGAGCGGGCGCAGGAACAATTTTTTTCCCGGAAAACAATAAGCAAAAAAAAAAAAAAAAAGGGTTCTAGATATTTTTGAGATCTACAACCTTATGTGTTTTTTTTTTTTTTGAAGTTTTTCTATATTTAAAAAATCAAAAACATAAACGAAAGAAAATAACAAAAAAAAACAATATGAAATGGGTGGGTTTTCTTTTTTTTCACAAAAATTTTTTTGCAAGCAAAAAACTAACAAAATAAATAATAAAAAATATAGTCTTGTGTGAGGATTGAGCCCTCAAGAAGGGGCCTTGCCATGGTGTACATGTTCTGGGCTAAGGCCCCAGCAGGCCTCGTGCCCGCCCTAAGTGAAGGCGGGCCAGCAGATCAACAAGAGCCCTCTGTGCAAACATTTCACGAAGTGGGGTCCATACAGTTGCAGCACGCCAACTGGTTGGAGTGCACCGAGTATCGGAGCTCTGCAAATGCAGAAATCCGAGGGCCCCAGAGTTGGTTAGGCCCTGGGCACATAAACGTGAGGCCGACAATGCACGCTGGATTTAGAGGCCGAAAATGCCAATGGGAAACCGGCCCACTATCTGAATCTGGCCGCAGGCCTTGATGAAAGAGGCGCAACTGCATCTCCTGGGCCCCAACCGCATTGGGCCTGGGTACAGGTACTGGGGCCCAGGCGCAGGCTCAAGGGAGGCCGCCCACACGCAACACTGGCATATAGGCAGGGAGGGCGAGTGGGCAGGGATCTTGGCCATTGCGGGCAATGCCGGCACGCTGCGCGAATGCGAGGTGCTGTGCTGCGCTAGGCTGAGGTAGAAGCAGGCTGCGCTAAGCGGTAGAGCACTGCCTGGGCGCAGGGCGCTGGCGGCCATAGCCGGGCTGCCTGTGGGCGCAGAGGAGGTGAAGGGCGAAGGTGGTTCTTCGACGGTGAAGGGCGCTGTGTGGGATAACAAGGGAGAGCGAGGGAGAAGAGAGAGACGTACCTGGTGGAGAGGAGGTCGGCATTGGAGTTGACATCATCACTCGCTGGTCGTCAAGTTGTCTGGTTGCTTTCATGCTGTAGTCGTAGTGATAGGCTGTAGAGTAGGTAGGGCGCCTGGCGCCATTCAAGAGAGAGAGCTACATTGGGTTATGCTGTTGGTGTTGCCC